CTCTCTCTCTCTCTCTCTCTCTCTCTCTCTCTCTCTCTCTCTCTCTCTCTCTCTCTTTCTCTCTCTCTTTCTTACTTGCTTAATTGCTCTTTCTCTTTCTTACTCGCTCGCCCTCGCTCTTTCTTTCTCTCCCCCACACTCTCTCTCTCTATCTGTCTATTTCGAGCTCTCTCTATCTGTCTAGCTCTGTCTATCTCTCGCTCTCACCCTCTCTATATCTATATCTCTCTCTCTTTGACGCAGGTCTCGGCATGTCAATGCTCTACATCCCGTCCGTCGTCTGCGTTGCCTTCTACTTCGAGAAGCGACGCGCGCTGGCCACCGGACTGGCCGTGTGTGGCTCGGGTGTCGGCACCTTCCTCCTCGCACCTCTATACCAGCACCTCACGCAGATCTACGGCTGGCGTGGGGCCATGCTGCTGCAGGCCGGGGTCGTGCTTAACTCGGCCGTCTTCGGCACGCTCATACGACCGCTGCGCGAAAGCTCGCCGCCGCTACGGGGCGCTGCCGAGGCGCGGGAGAATCTGCCGGACGGCAGAGACGCCGAGGAGGTCGAAGATTTACTACGCAGAGGGGGTAGTGAGGAGGTTAGTGGTGTCCTCAACGCCGCGGATGCAGAGGAGGTTAGAGATGCATTGCATTCCAGGGACGGAGTGGAGGTTCAAGGTCTCTTATACGACAGGGCTGCAAAAGAGGTTGAATGGTCAGTACGAGCCTGCGATGGGGAAGAGGATTTGCTGCATACCAGAGATGACGTGAAACGGGTAGAACTTACTGCGCGCACCGAGGAAAGCAGCAAAATGTTTATCCAGCCTGACGAGGTCTTGGCGTACCGTGACGACTCACTGAGAAGCTTCCACGATGCAGAAACCTTAAATATCGAACTGAAACTCTTCGATGGAGATCGCTCGTCTGTATCCAAGAGTCGTGACAAAAGAGACGTGGAATGCCCACGCAGCAGCGATGGACGGACGACCGATCGAACGTGGATGTCATACCCCGACATTAGCATACAGTTAAAAGCAACGCCGTCGCAGAAATGTCGGTCGCTTCGTAGTCTATCCGCGCGGGAGTTTCCACCAGGCGCGGACACCGACGATTATTCGCTCACGTCGGGAAGCCTGCTGGAGATACCAGCGTTACTCGTTCGCGGCAACGCGCCGCACGATGGCGGCACCGTCGCACGCGCGTCCAACGACAGCGTCGGTACTCGCGCCCGAAACCTTCTCGATTACCCTCTGAGCATCTTCGACGTGTCGCTGCTAACCAACGCCATCTTCCTGTTGTTCACCGCCTCCAACGTGCTCACGAACGTCGGCTACAACGTACCTTACGTCTACCTGCCGCACGTCGCCGTCGAGCGCGGATACGCGCCGGCAGAGGGCGCCAGGCTCCTGTCGATCGTCGGCATCGTCAACACGGTGGCGCGCGTCGCCGTCGGGTTGCTAAGCGACCGGCTCTCGTGCGTTCGCCGGCTGTGGCTCTACAGCACGTTTCTCGTGTTCTGCGGTGCGGCGGCCGTCGGCACCGTCTTCTGCTACAGTTACGCGTCGCTGTGCGTCGTAGCTGGCCTGTACGGACTCTTCTTCGGTAGGTATAGGATCGGAGGTAGGACTTACCGTGACTAATGGCGAAGGGGGGGAGGGGGGTTCTGCGTGGGAAGTAAGAAGGTTCAGTAGGTATAGGAACGGAAGTAGGACCTACCGTGATCGATGGTGGGTTGTCTCGCGTTTAGTGCTACAGAGTTGGACATCATTGCGCGGGAAGTAAGAAGGTTCAGTAGGTATATGAACGGAAGTAGGACCTACCGTGATCGATGGTGGGTTGTCTCGCGTTGAGTGGCTGGGCGAGTTTGGACATGATTGCGCGGAAGTAAGAAGGTTCAGTACGTATAGAAACGGTAGGACTTGCCGTGATAAATTGGGGGGGGGGGAATTCCTGCGTTGAGCTATGGCAGAGTTGGACAGGCGAGTATGAAGACTGGATAGGACTGGGGGCCACAGAGATATGCGATTAGAGAGGTTTGGTTAGATTAGGGACTGTAGCATCATGATGGTGTCACAGTTGGCCCGTACAGGTGTAGGCAGTACAGGCAAGCGCTTTCTAAACGGAGAAGAAAACTCGTCACGCGGAAAAATGCTTTTATTACTGGCGGCTGAAGGAAAATTGCCTCGAGTATCAACGAAAGCACAGATAACCTAGCTTAAAATTCGTTTATTTTCTCGGGATGTTACTTTTAGCGATTAAAAGACCTCAGGCGGCCCTGAAATATATTTCTCAAAACTTTTAAATATGCGAAGATGACGACAAATACAAGTTTTGTACTTTCAGATGTTACATATCACTGATGTCGCATCATCATCGTGGATTTTCCTGGGCTTGAAAATCTTACCAGTGGCCATGGGTCTGATGACGCTATTCGAGGCCTGACTACCCGGTCACTATTGCCACCATTTACCCGGTGAGTTTAGATCACTACCTACACATATCCGAGTCATAGAGATAAGGAACTCATCTGATCCACGAATCTATATATACATCTTAGAGGCATTAACCCGAAAGTAAACTTGTTCTTCCCTTAGTGATATTTTGAAAAATATATTATGAACCTTCATTCTAAACTCTGCTCTCAGCCAGGCTAAACCATTTAGACGCGCCACCGATTGTGATTGCTATGTCGATTATAGTAGGGAATCACGCGAAGATGAAGATGAGTGGGTGGGGGCGGCCATTGACGTAATGCGGGTGGTGGACATTAGGCAGAATGGCAATAAAAGTATATGGAAGACGCGACAAATAAAAAGTTAGGAAGACTGGACAAATAAAAGGGTCATACAACAAACGCGTCGTTTTTCGTCATTGTTACGGCCATTCTACCAACGTCTATCTCCTACATGAAGCCCTCTGGCCAGGAGTTTACCCCTGTATATACCCGCGCGTGTATTCTTAACGCCCGTCTAGCAGTGGTGCACGAAATATAAATTCACAAAATAATAAAAAAAGGGTTATACTTAAACCGTAAAGTTATTGAAAAAAATATAAAGAATATTTCTGAAAGATTTGCTCATCAGCAGCTAATCCGGTGTATGACATCATGGTGACGTACGTGTGGCTATCGCAGGTTGGCTGTATGATGTGAGCCGGTGACTACGATGCTGCCTTCTACCTGATGGGAGCGACGGCTGGATGCTCGGGTCTCATGCTCTACATCGTGCCGTGGCTACACAGACGCCAGCGAAGAGAGAGAGAGAAGAGAGAGAGAGAGAGAGAGAGAGTGAGAGAGCGCGCGAGCGAGAGAGAGATAAGAGAGAGAGAGAGGGAGGGAGAGAGAAAGAGAGAGAGAGAGAGATATATATAAATAGATAGAGAGAGAAAGAGAGAAGGAGAGAGCGAGGGAGAGAAAGAGAGAAGGAGAGAGGCGGAGAGAGAGAGAAAGAGAGAAGGAGAGAGGCGAGAGAGAGAAGGGGAGCATATATTGATGAGTATAGAGAGAGAGAGAGGAGAGAGACGAGGAGCGAGAGAGAGAGAGAGAAAGAGGAGAGAGAACGAGAGAGGGAAGAGAGAAGAGCGAAGAGAGAGAGAGAGAGAGGAGAGAGAGAGAGAGAGGAGAGAGGAGAGGTGAGAGAGAAAGAGAGAGAGAGAGAGAGAGAGAGAGAAAAGAGAGAGAGACGAGAGAGAGAGAGAGAGAGAGAGAGAGAGGGAGAGAAGGGGAAAGCCTCGCTAGGCGTTTCCCCTCATGACATGATCACTACTAGGTGGAGACACGTCTGAAGACAGCGCGGAGAAATACTCCACCTTACTTATAAACTTACAAATGAGCTGAAATGTGGCTATTGTAGTTGTAATTATAGTTGTGTATTTTATAAATATTTGTTATGATGTGTTTTTCTATAGACTGATGAGCGATATAGGCTTCGAGGTTTTTTTTACTAAATCTTAATCAACGCTTGCGTTATTTGCGCTAATTATTAACGTTATTATATTGCGCTATTATTGCGCTAATTATTGCGTTATTATTATTGCGCTAATTATTGCTTATTATATTAGTTATTGCGTTAATTGCGCTATGCGTAATTCTACGTTATTATGCAATGTAGACAAGTGATTCTTCGTCCTTGCTTTAAGTAGCTATACTGGACGCAGTGAGAGGATTTATTCAGCTACCGAGCAGTCGTCTTCGCTGTATTTGGATCGGTAGAAACTGCTGTTTGAATTATAAAACATTGACAGTATGTTTAGAAATCAGATTCACGTGTTATTTCTCGTCTTTCATCGATTTGAGTGCCAAAATATCGCATCGATACGATTTGCTAAATGAAATAAATATATTATGCATATTTGTATAAGTTTGTTTTTTGTGTACTTTCTGAAGCGCGGCTACGTATATATATATATATTATATATATATATATATATATATATATATATATATATATATATATATGGCATCGTGAGACGCAGCGTTGTACGTACGTATAGTGAGTGCTACAATAGAGCCATAATCGCACGAAATGAAATAAATATATTATGTATATTTGTATAAGTTTGTTTTTGTGTACTTTTCTGAAGCGCTGCTACATATATATATGATATATATATATATGAAATATGTACAACATACTATTCTAATTCGAAGATGGCGTGGGCGTGCGCAAACAAAAACTACTCGCTGTTCTCCCGGGAAATTCGGTACGACTGTGCACCTTATCATTATTGAAGTGACTGGTTGGTGTGGGCTCTCTAAATCAAAAGTAAAATTTCAACAAAATACTATTTCATTTACTTCACAAAGTCTGGAGAAGCAGCTTGAATGTCACGTAGGACACATGACGCCATCTATTAACGAAATAAAACAATGTTGCTGTTACTTCAGCTGGGGCTTGCTATCATTAATAAAGAGAGGCATTGGAATAAATTTTTAATATCTAGCTATTGCAAGGAGTATTTGCTCTCAATTTTAAACGTGTAATTTCAACGCAATATTATTTTATTTCGGAGATAATGGCCATACGCAAATGAGGGTCTCTTGCTGTTCTACCGAGAAATGTGGCACGGCTAGGTACCTAATGATTATTAAGGTGATTGGAGGTCATTTGCTCTGAGTCTCTATAGGAAAACTTCATTTAAGTGATAAAGGAGGTACATCTAGCTGGATATGTCACGGAGGACACATATCGCCACCTATTGGCTGATTAATTCATTAGCGTTACCTGAGCCAGTGACACCTCGGAATAATCGACACCAGTGAGACACATTAGTGTCAGGGCTGGTTAGACCGATTGTTATGTCTCCTAACATCGACAATTACCTTCTGTTTTTTTTTCTAGACGTTAGGAGGGTTTAGTAGGAGTCTGGGGGGAAGTCATTCAGTCCATAGCGTGTCAGTGGTAATGGCCAGCAGAAGAGTTACTGCGTGCGTGTCTTGGTCGGGCTGATGAGACGCGCAGACGCAGACACTGGTGCGTGCGCTGCGGCAGTAGCTTCATACGATGTCTTGACATTACGAACATTATTTGACATCAACGCTCGTAATTGTTTGATAACGGTCTCTGCTGGAATAGAAGTTTTCCCTGTCAAACTACTCGTGAATCTGTGTTCTCTACTTTAAATGTATGACAACCTGCTATAATTCAGCTTTTATTATTTACCGAGCACGCGTAAACCGAGTTTTTTTTAGAAATCCTGGAAAATTTAGCCCTTTGTAATTAATAAAATAAAAAATTCGCATAACACTTTTTTTCACATCTAACTACTTGTGAATACGCGTTCGCTGTTTTAAATGTGTAATCACAACTAATTGTATACGCCGGCTGATATTACTCATTGGCAAACTAATTAGTAATCCTTCTAAGGCAGTTGGGAAACTAGGCTGCCAAATAATTAGGGTGGTGACTTGTTTCTCTGTTCAGATTATGCGTCAACACCTTCCTTTATGACTTCAGTCGTATGTTCCTGACGGATTGTATAACGGCGCCACCTATACTAGTGATGCTTTCACACTGCGTTTCTGAAGGTGGTGCTGTGCTTATAGTTTCACATTATTATTTAACAAATAATGTTTCATACTTTATATTAATATCAGGAGTCAATGAATATTGATAGACTCCTGTTAATATGTATAAAGATTATTTACAAATTTATGTTATCCTTATAAATATGTACACATTTATACATACTTATATATGTTATTGTTATTATACATTATTCATTTATAGTAGCTCACGTTTGATAAGCGTTAGGAGATCTTTTAGTCCACCCGTCAGGATAATGCCACATTTTACGCTTTACCGAATTTAGGAAGATGAAATAAACTTGCAAGCAAGCAGGTACGTGCATTACTATAAATTATGGCAAGAGATTTTAATAAATGATAAGGCAAAATAGCCACGCGAAAATCTTCCACCAGGTGGCGGCATCGTACACTCCCGCCGGAACATAAACAGAGCAGCGGAAGCCAGGCGAGAGTGAAACACCGGAGGAAGGATTGCCGTGGAATCCCCCCTAGTAGATAGATTCAGGAGCATCTTTTAGGAGCAACAGAGCAAGCGTCAGCGATGGTTGACACAGGAGTCCCAGCTCTTCCCCCGCGATATCGCTTCAGGGACTTAGTGCTAGGCGATCATTTTCT